TGCAGCTATCTAATCTAAACTAATTCAGGAATATAGTTTTGAATTTTGTTCCGCATTTTTTCAACAAAAAGGGGAAATTGACGTGCAGTCCTTGGAGAATTGGTATATTATGTGCTTGCATTGTATTGTCCGTATCCTCTAGATCCTTCTGACAGATCTACATGTTTGGTCAGCATGATGCACCACACGGAGTTAGCTGACAATAAATAGTGAATATTAAATATTGCATCAAGAGGTCTCCTATCCTGACATTGTTATTTGAAGCAGTGGGAGCTCCAGTCATCCATGGTAGCTTGTGTTTAGGGGCCAGGCACCATGAACAGCTGCCACCAAACTGATCCGATTCCTACAGACTGTGCTGCTGAGGGCCCAACACCTCTGATGACTGGTCAAACATGCTCTGCCACTGTTTGCTGCTATGCTCACATAGCACTGAAGTGCCCAGCACACAGCTGTTGGCATCTTAAGCTACCCCATTTGTTGTAAAGAACTAGGTTTCTCCCCTGTTGCTGGATCAGAAGTTTTGGCCTGGGCCAATACCAAGGCCCAGGATGTCAGGAAGTTGGTCGCTCTTCTCTTTCAGTGTGCTGGGCCAGTGTCAAAGCTTTTGTGAGGGATAACGGCTGGTCTGCCGGGCTCCAGCCAAACCATACAGCTCAGGGAGGGGACTGGCTCATGGCATCCAATTTTCCAGGGCTACACTGAAGCCTTTCTTCTGTGAGGCTTTTAGCTGAATTATGAGTGATGGTCCAGCAGAAGACTTAAGGGCAAGGACAAAAAGGAAACAGGAGCAGCTCTCTGAGGCAGCACGGAGGGACGGTGTGTTACCGAGGCAGCCGGGAAGCAGCAGCCAGTGCAGAGCTGGCAGCGGTGCAGCTCAGAGACATGGGGAGGACAAAAAAGGCTCTGGGCAGCCCAGAGGGAGACGGCTGGAGACACCTTTAAGTTGAGAGATTTTAAGGTACCATGTGAGGAGAGTAAGAAAATGTGTAAAGACAGGGGGGAGTAACGAACAGAGCTGGCGCAGAAGCACTGCGCGGCCTGGAGATGGCGCCGAGGCAGCAGGGAGGCCTCCCAGGCGGGAGGCTAGGCGGTCGGAGCAGCCCGGAGGCCCCTGGCGGCCCGGCGGTGGCACGGGGACAGCATGGAGGAAGGGCTTAGAGAAAGCACTGAAGGTTGAAGAGAGACCAAAGGTGGCTCTGAGGTGGTTTGTAGCCCTCGCTCAGCCCCGGGGCAGCTCTCAGGGACCTGCAGTTAGAGCCTCCTGCCCAGCAGACGGACTGGGCGGGCAGAGCTCTTTGAACCCCTCGCTCCCTAGAGACTGCGGAGGGACCTGCCCTGCCTTTGTCTCCATTAAGCACACAACTAATGGTACGTCAGGGATTTAACACGGGGAGAAGGGAGGTGGTTAGTAGTCAAATGCAGCAGCCTGTTAGCTGTTCAGAGCAGCCAGAGGGGATGTGGAGCTGTTGTTACGCTGTTTAAGGCTGGGGTCTTGCCTCACAGCCATTGTTCATTTACTGTTTGTTGGCCTTACCTGCTTGTTCTGTGTTCCCATCTGTATCCTTCAGCTTCAGTCTTTGCAGCAACAAACTTTGCTTTAGTGCTGCCGTGAGGAGCTACAGCAAGGTACTGATACCTCCTGAAGCTCCCAGTGTATGCCTATGTGAACCTCCGTAGTGCATGGCCACGCACCTTTGTGCATTACCTACGTGGTAATGGCCAGGCTCTGAGGAGACTGGAGAGAACAATTAGCTGTGATTGCGTTAGAGGACAATTGGATCTGAAATGATAAGCCCCCTTGGGAGGCAGTCTAAACCCTATTATTGTGAATATCAGGAATTGGCAATTCTAGCTTAACATTTCTATATTGTCAGGATCTTTCCAGTGTAAAGGTGTCTGAGCAGATACAAGCTGAACACCTACAGATTGCCACGAGGCCATTGCCTCTTCACCTGTGGAAAATAATAGTGAAAATGGAGATCTTTTTGATCAGTGATTGCTGATGCTGTGTTGTTAATTGATAAGTTGCATCTGCTGTTCTTGTGTGTTGGGACATGGCACAGAGGAGTGGATGAGATCAGAGGACATTGTGCCTGCCATGTGCACAGACAAGGTGGGAAGCTATGTAAAAATAGCAACAGCTATATCTCTTGACCAGCTTCCACCAGCTTACCATGTTTATCTATTAAGACTGAAGTGCTATAGGGTAGCCTTAAAATTGTCTCTGGAGTCAGCTGGTGATTCTGATGTTACAGGGCTGTCACACACAGAGCTAACAGGCCCCAGAGGGAGGGTATGCTCCAGCCATGTGTTTGTGTTAAACAAATAAGTTTTAACTATACATCTGCTGGACAGTGCATAAGCCCCAACCTGCTCCTTAGTAGCAACAACGTGCTGGTTGACATTCAGAATCCAGTGACGAGAGGGAGTATTCTCAGTGTCTGATGGGGCCCAGCCCGAAGCAGGAGGCAATGTGCTTTGCCTGTTCTTTGCAACCTATATACCCTCTAGCACATCTTGGGCACCTGACTGATTCCTTGCATCCCAAAGCAGCTGAAATGTAAGAGCGCTTGAGCAATTGTTTAAAATCAAATGTTCAAAACTACATAAATCAAGCTGCTAAATTTAGGAAAAATAAAACATCAATTAAAACCAAACATCAATTTGACACATGCTTCAGCCATGCTGTAGGTAGCATCTGTCGTCACTGCTGGGTTCTCATTTCTTCTTGACCCTGATCCTCACCCTATGGAAAGATTAATGTTTTGTTTTATTACCATACCAGCAAAAATGTAAGCCTATGGGAGTGTGATCATTAAAGCTGGCTGGAAAAGCAATTGATTTTTTTGGTTGAAATACAAAGGTGACTTGTTGTACAGTTTTGGGACAGGATCTATAGAGCTTCTCTGGAATTCTGGAAGCATATCTAGGATTGCAGTTTTTGAGACAAAAATGGCTTTGGGTTTTTGGTTGGGTTTTTTTTGTTTGTTTGTTTGTTTTTTTTTTTTTTTTTTTTTTTTACTCCAATTAAACTTGGGAAACAAAGATCGATGTTTGACTTCAGAAAGTGAAAAAAAAAATTGTTTCTTGAGAATTTCTCTCTATAAGCGTGTGGGGACTGGTCTTTCCCCTTCCCTACTTTTTCGTTTAGTTATGGACAAAGTCCTGTATTCAGTGAAAACAAAGTATAAGTGGGACCTTGTGTTTAGATAACTTAAGGGCACACAGCTACGATTACCTTGACACATGGGTGAATAACTTTTCTAGTATGATCACACCATGTACTTGATTGGTGGTTTCTTTCACTTGATTAAGAGAAGTTGTGCAAAATATCATGAGCTTAGGAGACATGAACAAAACAGGGAGAGAATACAGGGGATTTTGAAAGGAGAAAGACAAAATGATGACTGTAAGATGACAGAAGCCAGTGGGGAGTGGTAAAATGAGAGGACTGCCATGGGAAGCTTAAGAGGTTAATGTCATGCAGCTATGGATGGATGGAGTTTGCATGGGCCCAGATCTCGGATCTGATCCAGTTGCCTCCCAGTTCTAAAGGAAAAGGCTATAAATCAGTCCAAGGATTCTGGTGAATCATGCTTTGTGCTCATGGTTTGTGATGTAACCAGCCGTTCTTGATGGAATTACAACTGCCCTGCTCACTCGCACCTGCTATTTGCTCTGTATTAAGTTAACGATAGTAAGTAAACTGTGTATTATATTTCAAGCTGACCTTTTCATGCCAAATGAATTAGTCTTGCCCACAGACTGACCTAATTTAAAACATATGTATCAATTTAAATCCTGTTGCTTCCATACATTAGGCTACTGTTTAGATTTTGGCCTCATCAATATTCTTCACCATTTTAAACAGATGTGTAGTTTGCAGTGGGTTTGGATCAAAAGTGTTCTCTGATAGATGTGTGTGTGTGTGTGTGTGTGTGTGTGTGGAAGGTGGTGGAGGAATAGAAGTGAAGTAGACTGTGATGGCATTGTACAGAACTTCTGCCTATCACCTGAAACCAACAGAAGACACTTTGTTTTTGTACAGGCAAAATCTTCATTAGAATCAAAGGAAGTTTGGAGTCCTTGTTTAGTGAAAATACAACTGAAATCAGGAGAACCATTGTATGATACAATATTGCCCTTACGACAGTGTAAGTCTCATAGAACACAGACAGAAGTTTTCAGTTTTTCCCAGACTTCTAAGGGGTGAAAGAATTTTGTATGTAAAATAAGAGTTTCTCCTCAGAATAAATTTTTTTAAAGTCTGAGCCTAGTATCAGACTCCAAAGAACATATTGAGGCCTCTAAATAAGTAGGCTTATTAAAAAATCCTGGGCTTTTCAGAAGTGCTGAGCTCTGCCAACCCCCACTGCTCTTAGGATACAGCTTCTATGGCTGAACATCTTTTGACTGCATGTTCTTGTAAAGAAATACTAAGAATATGCAGTAGGTCTAAGTGACTCCTTATCTTTGTGCAGAGATAAGGGCTGCTGTTCCTCCTAGGAAACAGTGTCTTATAAGCGGAAGGCTGCACTTCTTATCATTCAAGTATGTGCCATAAAGGGGTAAAAATAGGGATGATGAGGATAAGAAAGATGAAACCAAGGCACCTGCTACCCACAGAAGGAAACTTGGGAATTAAATAAGACTGAGAGTCTCTTCTGTTTTGAATACTGCAAATCTTCGCTTACATGAGTGAAGAATCTCCCTGTAAAAGCCACTGAAATTACTGATATGAGAAAAGGCTTGCAGGATTTAGACTCTTGACTTTACCATGCAGACTAAATTCCATTTACTGAATTTTACAGAAGTTTAAAATGTCTGAGTTGCCTGAGAGAATTAGATTTCAATACCTATCAAACATTTATAGGACATCCTAAATCCCCATTGAAAATCCTTTATTTTGTGACCTAAACAGCGCCAATTAAATGGAAAGGTTGAAATAAGGTATTCAAATTGTATCACTGTTGCCAAATAATGCATGCTTCATTAAGTCTCACAATATTTTAATCCAGTATTCACTTTGCCATGATATATAATGCAGGCTATTTACAATGATTGCCATTCTTTAAATGACAGTTTTCCTTTAAAACAAGCAGCAACAACAACCAGCCCCATACCCTGCTTTAAACTTGGTTTGCAAGGATTTTCACTTGCATCAGTAATGTACAGATTTACACAGAGCAGAAAAAGGGGGCATTTTTATTCTAAAGAGATCCTGCCTTGTATACTACCTGCAGCCACATTCTGCCACTTTCATCCCCTCGTAGTTATATATCAAAGTGGGCACACCAGCATCATCCTTATAGAGAATGGAGATTGAATCCAATTTGGTTGGAACACAACAAGCCTTGGAAGCTTTCTTTGGGTTTTGGAGATGCACCAGAGTTTGGACAATAGCATGTTTTGTTGGGGTAACATTATCTGTCAGAGGGAAGAAGCAACCTCCTTTACACTCAAAAGCCTCGTAGTCTTTTGGTGCAATGATCCAGGAATCCCAGCCAATCTCTTCAAAGTTCACATGGAGGGAAGTTCTCCGGCAGTGGTTGGCCCCGATGCTTCTCTTGCTTCTGAAGGAATGCTGGTGAGGCCCAGTGATGGCCTTTTCGTCTCCCTGTTCCTCCTCTTCAGATGAAGTGTTGTTCTTTCCTAATTTCCTTAGCACACTTTCTTGTTCATGAACAATCATCTCCCGGAGCTCCACTTTAGTCTCTTTTGTCCCATTGCTGCGGTCATTGGAGAACACTATTAACAGGGGCAGATTTTTAGTATCAGGGGTAACACTGATATCCATCTTCCCACAAGTGAAACCACCCAGAGCCTTACTCTCTATAACAACCTCTAGCTTGTTTTTAGTCTTCAGTTTGTCTGCCCTGACCCATCTTTTCACAGCGCTGGAGACTTCAAACATCTCCCAGCCACACTCCTGGATACTGTGGGAAACAAGGAAAGATTTGGTACTTTCTGGGTTTTCCCAGTGGTCACCATCTAGAACATCATAAATGACCATGTTGCCTTCCAGCCTAGGCAGAGACCCAACTTCCCTGTGACAGGAGATATAAATTCTCAGTTCAGCTCTGGTGATTTCCTCATATCGTGGAATAGAGATGTTGAAGAGCAAGATGTGTTTCTGAAATGGATTTTCTTCTGGTGAAGCTAAAGAAACAACATCTGCAATAGGAAATTAAAACATGTGGTTACAGTGCTTATGACTGGGCAAGTAACTTGCTTTTAAAAGACTCAGGATGTATTTTGGGGGTAAAACAAGAGCATGGCTACCCAGCATTAAAAAAAAAAAAAAAATACACTGTCTCCTGGCCAAGTTTCAAGGGCAGGGAGTGAAAAGCGGAAATAGAGGTTCCTGCTGTTGGTAGTATTTTCACCAAGATTGCATGGTCACATGAGTGTAGGTAGGGGAGCATAAAGAGTCAGCCTAGAACAAGCCGTGGATGATACTGGTCAGTATTAAGTATATAAATAAGGCATCTGGTGAGTGTTCAGGTTTAGCAATTTCCGAAAGAGATTTTTACACAAAAAATTCGTAAAAAACCCCAATGAATTTCCTATTCTTATCATCATGCAATAGGATTAACTGCCCTCCTAATACAGAGAAGTATACTATATATTTAAGTGTCTCCAAGAACTAGCTGTGCTAGTTGGCTTTTGTTATTGTCTTCAGGTAACTTTAAAAGCAGCTTGGATTACTGGGAGTTTGAGGAAATAGAAAAGTTTTTGAAAACCCTGAATTGAAGCTTCGGGGTCTGTCTAAATTGGGACTTGGTGATAAACAGCCTTTCATGCCCAGATCCCAGTCCATTCCAGGCTGGACTCACTGAGCTTGTGTGGGTTTTGATTGTTTGTTTGTTTGTTTTTTTCTGCAAAGGTATGTGCAGTACCAGCAACTCTGCCTCGGGAGGGACAGATATTTGTCTGGAAGATCAGGTTGGTAGTAATTAAAAGTCATCACTGACTGATGTCTATTTGATGGTCAATGTAAGATAATTACCCAGTCACGACTGGATTTTAGGGCAATTTTAACTGGCTAATGTTGATACTTCTTCACAGTGTTTACCTGCAAAAGCAGTCAGAGAGGAGAGTGAGATACGGATCTATAATCCAGTTGACGCTGTTAAGATTTCTTTCCATTTCAGGATTAGGGGCACTAATTTGGGAATGTGGAGTTCTCTGTAGTGCTATTACCTGTGTATATCTATTTTTCCTACAAACAGAAGCTTCAGTTCTCCTTGTCTCATTTTTGTCACAAGGATTGCATTTACTTCTAACTTGTTTACTCCTTTTGAAGGAGCTTTTAGAAGTCTATATAACGTTACACAGGCAGGGATCTTGATTTCTTTTAGTTGAGACAAGCTCCATTTCCATGTAAATCTTTCCATCTAAACCAGAATTTTAGGGGAGCACTGCTGTTCCTTGCTTGGATACAGAGACACATTTCTCAGTTGTCAGCTGTGGTTTTTAAGTATGAGGAGAGCCCACCTGAAAGAAGAGCCATCTAGCATGGATGTCTCAATGGTCGGAAGTTTGCGGTTTGCATTCTAATATGAAAACTCAGTCCCAAATCTCTGGCTTTGAGAAACATGATTCATGTACACGATTATTCAGTACATTACCGCAGTTGATGCGTTTGAGAGGAGAATGTTGTACAGTAAAAATATCATAGAAGAAAACTAAAGGTGACTGTATTATTTTAAAGATTGAAAGAAACTACAGAGCAAGACTACAATCCAAAATTATGTTTCCAAAGAATCTGTGGAAGTTAGGCACTCAGTTCCCTCTGAATTTCAAAAGAATCTGAGTACCTACTGTCCATGTACTTCTTTAAAAATTCTAGTCCACATATTTAGGACTTTTCCTACCTTCGGTACTGAAGCTCCTTACAATATTGGATGCGGGAATGGAGGACTTGTCTGCAGCATATCTGTTGTATAAATCAATCATGAACTGTGGCGGTTCTTCTTTGGTCTTCACTTGAGAGGGGACTCTTGATAAATTCAAACTCTGTAGTAAATCTGTCTTCATATCCTCCAGGAAAGATTTAAAGTCAAAATGAGTCTCATCTTCCACTTCCTCAGGATCATGAAAGTGTGCATCAGACTTGCCCATAGTGGATAACTTGTCCCAGTCTTCCAAAGGCTTGCCTCTTGTCAAACAAGCAATGATGTTGAAAACAGACAGTACAGCTAATACTCCAAAATAATGCATTTCTTCTATATTTACTTTCTGATGGAGAGACAAGAGACAAGGGTATTTTAGCTGATTAAAAATCTTGTTTCATTACAGACAGAGGAAAGGAGACGGAAGGCAAACAACTGGAATGCCCTTTGCAAATCACTTGCTTGTGTTCTTTTTTGCAGTCTGTTTCAAACCCCAGCCTCTTGTCAGTTGTCAAGCAGATTGGTTGTACACTTGCCCTTATCAGAGTCATTGATGCCATGCTTCAGCTTCTGTTATCTAGCAAAGCTCTTAGTTAATGAAGATTCTATAAACATCTGACAAACACATGTGGCTGGTGGGAAGGACATTGTATATTGTAAAGAATCCACATTTCACTTCAGGGTCATCATTGCTTAATTACGCTTTTCTATCATTTCCTTGCCAACAGAGAGAGAAGCTTTCTTAGGGATGTAGAAGATTACACTGTTTTCATCAAGACTAGAAAATAGAGATCTAGAACGAAGTTACTCTATTAGCTATTAGTAAATAACATCTCACAAATCTTTATTACAGTCCCTTCACATGCCATCAGAAAATCCCCAATCATTTGGTGGAGACCTGCGATTCTGTAAGACATGATCTCATGACAATACAAACAACCTTAAAACTTCTTTCCGTTTATCAGTCAAGAGCTATTGTTTGTACACACTGAAATATCTGTTTTGTGTCAAGTTTGCTTCATGTTGTTTGCAGGCTTGTCCTTTTTCAGTTTGATTCCTTTGGTGTATGGGAATTTAGTCTTGTTTTTATAGTATCTTATGTAATATAGTTCTTAGATTCTTTTTGGTCAATCCAGTCCAAGAACAACCAGTCATTATTTCAGTGACCTCCAAATGAAGACAGAACTAGTCCTTCTAAAGCCACATGGAAATTAAAAGGTCTCTGTGAAGAGAGAGCAACCTAGTGTAGTGGAAGGTATCCCTGCCCATGGCAGGGGGTTGAAACTCGATCTATAGGTCCCTTCCAACCCAAACCATTCTATGATTCTATGTTTCTAAGATACAGAACATTATCTATGAAGATACAGAACATTATTTATGAAGATACAGTTATCCATGAGAAGAATGGGCTAAGGAAAAAATACAAGACTGATTACAGAGTTTCTCATGATACAGAAGAAAAAAAACCTAGTTTATTTATACACAAAAGTATCACTCAATATTTATCTCAATGAATGCATTATGATTTAATCTAATAACACATAAATGTTTTAGTTGTACTATTAATCTATTGTTTTTTCTAAGCACAACTCAGTCAATACTGTACATGTGTCATAAATCTCATACTACTCTTCAAACTTTTACAATAAAAAAATCTCATTACAAGGATGAGGACAATATTTTGTCCTTTCTGGCCATTCATCTCCAGTTTTCTCGCAGTAGACACACAGTGTTAAAAGTGATCCCAGACTTCTCAAATACTCACTTATGTGTCTGTTCAAGTGATAACTGGGATCCAAGATCCTGGTTAACTATGTTCATGTGTTGTGAAGTTAGAAATGATTGTTTGGCATTGATCCTGGTCTCCTGCGTAGCAAGACTGTTACATTTTACTCAAAGCCTTTGTGTTTCCTACCGGCATGCAGATTACTTGTGTTTGTCTAGAACATAACTTTCGAAGGTCCTCCAGAATCTATCTGAAGATGTCAAAGAATCAAAGATTTCTTCAATTTTTGTAGCACCGACTCTAAAATATTATCACTTAGACTTAAAAACCCATGCTTATTTTATTATTTCATTGTTCCTGGCTTCAGCCGCTAGATAGGAGTTCTTGTAACTGTTTGGCTGGCTTTAGGAGCCCTGTAGAGCTGGCATTTTCTCTCTGTCAAAGTACTTGCACAGTGTAATCAAGTTACTTCTCAGTTTGCTTTCTGATAACATAAACAGATTGTGCTTTTTAGTCACATGTTCTAAGACATTTTCTCTAACTGTCTTTGTTTCTTTTTAGTGTCTCTTTAAGAATTTGAATGTCTTTTTTGAAAGAGTGAACACTGGGGCTATGCATAGTTTTCTGATAGCAGTCCACCAGTGGCTCATTGTGGTGGGTTTGCCCTGTTTACCCTTGACTGGGAGCAAACTCTACACAACCGCTCGCTCACCCTCCCCCCTCCCAGGGATGGGGGAGAAAATTAAAGGGGTAAAGGGAAAAAAGACTTGTGGGTTGACATAGGAACAATTTAATAATAAAACTACAATAATATTGAAAATAATACTATATACAAATATACAAATGAGTGATACGCAGTGATACTGCCCCCCCACCCGATGACCAAGGCTCAGCCTGTTCCCCGCTAACGATCCCAAAGCAGGGAGAGTCCTGAAACCACACTCACGGAATGGAGACAACAGTCCGAGCGTCCCAGACCGAGAGCTGACCGGGGTGGGTGGGAGAAGGCGTTGGGAGAGTGACCACCTGGAGCGAGATGACCCGGAGACAAAGAGATCCGGAACCAAAAGGGACGATCTTCCGGAGGGTCCTCACCTGTATACTGGGCATGATGTATATGTTACGGAACAGATTACTGGTCACTCTGGGTTTCAGTCCCGAACCCAAGATCAAATCCTGGGCTAGCAACCGGGCCTGTGCTCCCTCCCAGCCTCCCCAGTCTGCCATTCTTGGCAGCAGCACAAACATCTCTTCTTATCAGCTTTTCTTCTGAGCACAAACCCAAAACACAGCCTCTTGCTAGCTATTGTGAAGAAAGTTAACTCTGTCTCAGCTTAACCAAGGACACTCATGTAGAAATAAAATCTCCTTTGCTTATGTGGTTCACTACTCCAGTGTGTATCTTTTCCAGGCTTTCTTTAGCTCTCTTTACACAGTATCACCCTGGATGTTCATACCGTGCCATAAGTCTATGATATCCACCAAAATTGTTTTAAGAGATGGCTTTCAGCGGTGCAGTCTTTTACATAGTAGGAGCAGGCTCCATTCCTTGTGCCTAGGTACTAAGTTCTGCATCTGTCTACCTTAAAATGAGTTTTGATTACATAAAGTACAGGTAGATGTAGTGATCTATATAAATACCTTTCTCCTAAACACTGTCTGTCGGTGTTGTTATATACAGACTTCCAGTTCATATATAAAGATATCAAATAGTGTCAGGCCAAATGTCGGCTTTGCAGAAACTTTACAATGAACAGTTTCACTCAGTGGCAATTCCTTTTGAAAGCTGCTCTTTGAGATTTGGCAGTGAGACAGTTGTTAATTCCTGTGATACGCAAATAAATTAATATTGTCCAGTGGTTTCTTTTAACTATGCAGCCTTGTACAAGTGAATTGAAAAACGTAGGTACCTTATAGCTGCTGCTGTTACCTCTGGCAATTAAACTGTTGCCTCAAAGAATGAAATTGGATTTGCTTGAGAAAAAAAATGTCCTTAACACTTTGCTGGCTAGTATCAGCCGTTTTCCTGTTTTATCTGTCTTTAATAATCTCATATTAATATGTCCTCAATTCTTTTAGGACTAGTTAGTGGAATTATCCTGACCTGCTATTTTAAGTGTTTGTCAATAGTAGCTTTCTCTAGAAACTTAAACATTGAGTGGAATGGTTTACAGGATGGTCATAAAAATCAAAAGTTCTATTGGAATCAAGAGAGCAAAGGTGTCAGCGTCCTCCAGCAGCAGCTGACTGCATTTGTGCCATTTCAAATGCAAAGTTTCCTTTTCTAGAGGAAGATTAGACATCCAAAGACCAAAGACCCAGAAAGTAGTAGCCACTTCTAAACAAATAGTGGTTTAAGACCTTGTTTGTATTACAGAATTAATAGGTATAGCTAAACTCCAGATGAAATAAACTTTACTAATAAGAGAATTGTATTGCTTGTGTAGTAAGGGTATGTCTTGAGAGCTGTGCCATTTACAGGTATAATTTTGTTTTGCCCATGCTAAATAACATAGATATGCCGACAAACCTTTAAATGCAGACTAAACCTTTCAGGCTTTTATAGGTATCCTAGTGAGTCCAGGAGTAGCATTTTCCCTTATGTCCTATAGACTTTATGTGAGATCATAGGATGGTGTCTCTTTCTAAATTGCTTGCATAAGCACATCTTGGAAAGTTAGTTTGTACACAAAGATTAATTTAAGATCTAGAAAAGATTACTTAAGGAAAACAAATGCAATAGATGAGAACATAAGCACACACTCTGTTCAGAGCTGATTCTGAATGGGAGCAAGACTAGACCTACAGAAAAGGGTAGATTTTCATAGGGAACAGAAATGACAATGACTTAAGATACTTTGAAAACTTTTATGCTTATGGCTATTCTGTAGAACTAAATTATGATTTTCTGATAACTTTTTCATTTTTCTTTATGCATTAGCATTACTTTGTCAGTGGTAGCTGAGTTTCTCATGATTTGTAGCAACACAAGAGCCTACATTTTTAAAGGAGATCTTTAACAGCGACAGTATACAAAGGTTTATCCCAGTAGTTCCAGCGTACATCACTGTAGTACTCTGGAAGAAGAAGAAATGCCTAGCTGGTTCCATTACCTTTTGGCAGTCATAACTGGCAGTCACTACAAGGTGCCTTAGAACTATCTGCTTATTGAGAGCTGTTTAGGAGGAACTAGCAAGAACTGCTGTTAGAGTAATCTTGCAGACAATACCATACACACTGAATCTTGCTTTTAGCTAGGTTAGCAGGAAGTACCACATTTACACACCTCTGTTTACTGGGAATCTGCACCACGTGAATATGGAATGTTGGTGGCAGAAGTTACCTGGTACCTTAGCAGGATAGGAGCCTCCTAGTTAGTCGTTCAGCAGAATGTAGTGTGTCTAGTGTCCTTCCCCTAAACAATACAACTTTTAATAGGTTAAGATAGTGCAGAAGATTAGACTGCCTCCTGAGGAGGAAACAGTCCATATCGTAGAATCATAGACTCACAGAAAGGTTTAGGCTGGAAAGAACCTTAAAGATCATCAAGTTCCAACCCCCCTGCCATGGGCAGGGACACCCTCCACTAGACCAGGTTGCTCAAAGCCTCATCCAGCCTGGCGTTGAACACCTCCAGGGATGGGGCATCCACAGCTTCCCTCAGCAACCTGTGCCAGTGTCTCACCACCCTCACAGTGAAAAATTTCTTCCTAATGTCTACTCTAAATCTACTCTTTTGCACTCTGTGCTACCTCTCAGTCTTTAGAAGTTTGTTCCACTGTTGGTCTGCCTATACTATTGTACAGCAGGTGGGTGAAAGTGGAATATGTGGCAAGTGTT